GATCTCTCATCCCTCGATTGGCAATCTCTATTCACTGGATGCAATACTGTTGAAGATCATTACAACATATTTTTACTTGAAGTCAAAAGAGTCATCAAACTATATGTTCCAACAACAACTCCAAAAACAAAACAAAAAAGCAGATTACCCATATCAATAAGGAAACTTCAATCCAAAAAGAGATCACTCTGGCGGAAAAACAAATCTGGTCACGTTGCTAATTTCAAAAACCGATATAAAAATTTATGCCACCAGATAAAGACCGAATGCACCAATTACCACATTAAACAAGAGGAAAACCTTCTAAGCACCAATTCCACCCGTGCTTTTTACAATTTTGTAAACAACAAACTAAAAGACTCAAGGTCCATCCCTCCCTTGATAGGACCTGATGGTAAAGACTGCAGCGACGACACCATTAAAGCCAACATCTTTAACACATTCTTCGGCTCAGTGTTTGTAAACAGTAATGGATCATGCCCAATGTTTCCTAGCCGTACCACAGACAACAATAATGATCTAATACATATCGATTTTACAGTAGACAACGTTGAAAAAGCACTACGCAACCTAAAACCATCTCTATCTATTGGACCGGATGGAATATGTGCCTACTTCTTAAGAAAACTATCCGCTGCCATAGCCAAACCTCTAAGCATAATCTTTGAAAGATCTTTCAGAACCAGCTCCTTGCCCAACCTATGGTTACAAGCCACAGTCATTCCCATCTTCAAAAAGGGAGACCCAAGCCTAGTTGAAAATTACAGACCAATCTCCTTATGCTGCGTCACCTGTAAAGTCATGGAATCAATTATTAACCAATCCATCATCCTCCATTTAGAGACAAACAACCTACTCTCCAACAAACAATTTGGTTTCAGAAAAAAACTATCCTGTAATCTGCAACTCTTACACTGCAAAAACATATGGACTACTCAACTCGACCAGGGCAAAGCAATAGACGCAATCTACATAGACTTCTGCAAAGCCTTTGATTCAGTGGTACACGACAAACTACTCCTAAAAATAAAATCTTATGGTATCTCTGGACAACTGAATAACTGGATAGAAGCATTCCTGTCAAACAGACAACAAATGGTCAAAATTGGGAACGCCCTATCAAATCCAGTACCAGTCAATAGTGGTGTTCCCCAAGGCAGTGTTCTAGGACCAACTCTCTTCATAATCTACATAAACGACCTTTGTGATCATATCAAGAGCAATTGCGTTCTCTTCGCTGATGATGTAAAGCTGTTCAATACCACAGACAATACTACTACCCTTCAAAAAGATCTAGACTATGTATCTGAATGGTCTAACATATGGCAACTCCAAATCTCAACAAATAAATGCTCTGTCTTACATATTGGTAAAAAAAATCAGAAAATAAAATACAAGCTGAATAGTCAAGATCTTGTTGATGACCCAAGCTCTGTAAAGGACCTGGGAATACTCACCTCTAATGATCTAAGTGCTAGAGCTCACTGCAACTACATAGCCAAAAAGGCATTAAGAGTTGTTAACCTAATCCTACGTTGCTTTTTCTCTGGTAATATCTCACTACTAACCAGAGCATACAAAACATTTGCTAGACCAATACTCGAATACAGTTCATCAGTCTGGAATCCTTATCACGTATGTGATATTAACACAATTGAGAAAGTCCAGAAGTATTTCACAAGAAGAGTTCTCCACTCTTCTACCCGTTATAGAATACCTTACGCCACCAGACTCGAAATTCTAAAACTAGAAAACCTCGAATTACGCCGTCTTCGGTCCGACTTAAGCATGGTATATAAAATCATACATTGCAATGTCCTACCTGTCAATGAATACTTCAGCTTTAACCATAACAACACAAGAGCACACAACAGATACAAACTCAAAGTAAACCGCACCAAACTTGATTGCAGGAAATACGACTTCAGCAATAGAGTGGTCAATGTCTGGAATACTCTACCCGACTCTGTAGTCTCTTCCCCAAACCCCAAAAACTTTAACCTTAGACTGTCTACTATTGACCTCACCCCTTTCCTAAGAGGTCTGTAGGGGGCGTGCATAAGCGCCCAACGTGCCTACCGTCCCTGTCCTATTGTTTCTCTTATTCTTTTATTTTTCTTATATGTACCCATTTCATATATTCACAACTATGTATACACTTGTACTTATTATCTTGTAAACAATTGACAAATCAAATAAATAAATAAATAAATAAATTAAAAAATGTTAATGCAATGTTTAAAAGGCAAGGAGAGAGCTATAAATCTTAACAATAACAGAGCTCCTTCCACAATTCTTCATTCCTTTGGAACCCAAACCCAATGACACAGCTAAGTCTTAAATGACTTGTAAAATGCTAACAGAGATGGAGCATGATGTTCCATAAGGCAGATGTAATGGGACAGGCAAATGTAGTGTCTGTTTGTGTGTATGTGTGTGTGTGTTATGTATGTGTGTGGGTAGATATATACCTTCTTTTGAGAGTAGGCAACAGAATTTTATTTTTAATGTGGTCCAGTATGCTCACAGTAAAAAATGACAATAAAGCTTCTCTTCTCTTCTCTTCTCTTCTCTTCTCTTCTCTTCTCTCCTCTCCTCTCCTCTCCTCTCCTCTCCTCTCTGCAATTTGCACTAGCCCACACCAGCTCCGCAAATGGAAAAAACATTGCGAAACATCATGTGACGGCAACGTGACGTGGCAAGTTTGACACCCATACCATAAAAGAACAAAGATATAGTTCTTAGCCCTGTTTATCTGTTTGGAGAATTTTTCCTTCCCGAGGGAAGTCCAATAAAGTTGCCAAACTCTGTTTTGCTAAAAGGCTGAAATTTGGCTACTACTTGTAATTTGATCCAGAACTAAATTTATCAGATAGATGAGAAATGCTTAATATATCTGTGGCTTTGCCTTCTCTAAGATGTAATCACTAATTCTCTAATCACTAAGATGTAATGAAACACCATTATATAATTCAGAGTTGATTTGCTTTTGCTATATGTATAGTTGATTAGGTATTCATTTAATTTTGGGAAAGACAGTAGGTTACCACTAACAAGTAGCTTTGAAGACTTGCTTTGGTAAAATAAATTACCTCTCAAAATAATTCAGAACTTTTCACCCCATATTATTGAGTAAAATAATTATAGCTGAAGGAAGAGTTTAAAAAAAGGAAAGTGGAGAATTGGTTCTTATGGTGCACTGAAAATATTAAATACATTTTTTTACCTTAACACCTTTGACTTCTCGTTCTCTCTATTCTCCTCAGTCTGAGGAAGCTAAGAGCTAACACTTGGTCATCTTTTTAAATAAATGATAAATGCACAACAATGTCAGATCTATCCAAAGACTCACTTTCCCAAACTTATAGTTTTTATTTTTACAAGGTACTGACTGGAGCCACCAGCAGCACTTTCAAAACACTCTTCACCCAAAGGACTGTCATGCATCAGATAATCTCTTCCCAAGAAGATCTTCTTTGAAAGACCAGATCAAATCTACCATTAGACATCTCAATCTGTGCCTTCGAGCCAACTGGGATGCCTGAATTGAGCAAACCCAGCCTAATCTTTGCCACCTTAGTTCACCTCAGATCGAAGATTCCTCCACGTATAGAACACTCATGGACATGGACTATAGTATTAATGGATAAATTGACAACTGATTTGAAAAGTATTAAAATGATTGAGTAATGTGGACTTTTTTCTCAAGAAGTTGTTGTTTTTTAATATAGTATGTCAATGGACACTTTTCTTCTTTGGCTCTTTCCATTGCCCAGGAAACATTTTGGAAAGACTGTGGCTGGTGAGAGAGGTTACTTTTCCCCCTAAATCAGTAATATATAAAGAACATTGATATACGGAAGTTTTTATCTGAACCACTGTAAAATAAATCCCTGTGATTGAATTTAAATGGATACTGAGTGGCTGTACAATTCCTTTCCTTTTCTCCCTTGTTATATTCTAGCTTTGATATATACCCTGGATATTTGTGTGGAAAAGGTTTCTAGCTTTTTTTTTTTTTAAACTAGACATTGTACTTCTGAAGGAGAAAGACCTTAAAAGAATGAAACAGAACTGGCACTTTCACTATTAAAAGCACAGATTCAGCCCTCTGATTTTGCTCATGTTAGACATATGCTTTTATTCCAAGCAAGTTCAAGACTCAAATGTAATAATGTAGTTTAGCCAGGAGTCAGAATGCGTAGAGGAAACAAGGTATTTCACAGAAGAATGCATACTTTCATTTTAGAAATAAACGGTCTTTTTGTGATACAAGCCAAAATACTTGCAAAATTTTAATTGGCTCATAAATAAGCTTGGGCTACTTCAAGCTAGCCTTGCTTGCTTCTTCTCTTCTCCCACGTCTCTCCCCCAAATTTATCAGTAGCAAAAAAGTGACATGAAGGGGTGGTTCATGTCTTGGCCAAATTAGAGCTTGAGGCTTGCCAGTAAGAAATTTCAGAGCACAAAGATTCAATTATAGATTAAATTTGCCAGGAATTTGGGGTGGAGGGAGCAACTGGGAAACTTCAGTAGCAGAAAAGACTGCAGGAGAGCTGACTACAGGAAAAGCTGAACATAATGGCTGGTAGAGAAGCATCCGGAATGGCCCTCAAAGTATCTCATACTGATTCTGAACTGTTGTTTAGGTTATCTTACTGCTGTCAACTGAAAGGATAACATGAACCACAATGCATAAGAAAAAAAATCACACAAAGGAACAACCTCCTACTTGAGATAACACACCACCTGCACAGTGGGTGCATGCCAGTAGGATGTTATTATTATGGGTATTATGATAATCAATGAATGTCAACATACTGTAATGCATCAAGCATCCCCTTCCCACTTCATCATCTGATTCCAATGAATAATACATTTCATTTTTTTACTAGGCTGGCTTGCTTGCAGGCCAAAATGGAACAAGCCTCATCAAAACTGAAAAAAACGACTGCTGGAAACAAACTGGAAAATAAAACAAACAAACTAAAATTCAATACCTCTTTCAGTCTGCAGGGCGCACTTTGGTGTTTCTTTCCAATAAGGGGATGTTGAAAAGATTTTTGCTTGAAACTATTAACTGAAAAGCAATTTGACTGTTCCCACTTTGAGGTTAAAAGGGCATCTTCCATGTCCTCTATTTCCTCAATCTGGCTCTCTTTTCCCTCCGAAACATAAGAGCCATTTTTGTTGAGCAGAAACTCGTGGATCAAAAGCTGACAGGCCTCTAAGTCAACTTCGCATACTCTTTCTAAAAGATGGTTTCTTCCACAGCTGAAAGAAAAAGCAACATAAAAATCAATAATTTGCTTAAATAAAAAAGCTCATGTCTCATATAATGTCAGGATCCTCTTGGTTTCTTTTAGGGCATTTTGTTTTTACCATTATAAAAACAGTTCTAATAAAGGATTTAGTAAATTTGTTCCCTTGTCAGTTTATTACATTTTTACCCCATCTTTATTACTTTATAAGTAAGTCAAGGTGGCAAATATACCTAACACTCCTTCCTCTTCCTGTGTTCCCCATAACTACAACCTTGTGAGGAGAGTTGGGCAGCTCTATGACAATTCACTGTGGCCAACTCACTATGGTCAACTCACCACAGCTAACTTGACACGGGACAATTTGCTGCAGGGCAAGAGTTATACTAATATCAAAGAAATGGTGGAACAGAATCATTAAAGAAAGGATACAAAAGGAGGGACAAAATGAAACGTGAATGACAAAACTTAAAATATTTTTATTTATTTTAAATAATTAAATTAAATAATTAATTAAGGAGTAGTGGTGGTGCAGTGGTTAAAATGCAGTACTGCAGTCTACTTCTGCTGACTGCTGGCTGCCTGCAATTTGGCAATTTGAATCACACCAGGCTCAAGGTTGACTCAGCCTTCCATCCTTCTGAGGTGGGTAAAATGAGCATCCAAATTGTTGGGGGCAATATGCTGACTCTGTAAACCATTTAGAGAGGGCTGTAAAGCACTGTGAAGTAGTATATAAGTCTAAGCACTATTGCTATTGCTAAATTGAATTGTTAAATTGGCCCAATGCGAGTTATCCCACAGTGAGTTGCATTGTCCCATAGTGAGTTGGCAGTGGCGAGTTGGCCAGAGTAAATTGGCCCATTCCAGATTTGGGCTGAGAGTGAGCGACTGGCTCAAAGTCACCCAGTCTAAACAAAATGGTTTGTTTAGAATAATAGCTACTTATTTCAGTATAAATTCAAGTGAATTTGGTTACTATCAAGGAGTTTGCTTAACATCAAGGGAAACCTGCAGTGACGTGCATATTCACTTAAGAAGAGATGGTTTAGTTTGTACTTCATCCTATTCTGCAGCTCTTTCAAAAAAACACAACATTCAGTTTGGCCCCATTCAAATATATACTGTCTATGCAGTGACCAGGATCCAAAGCTAAAGGCTACCATGGGAGCTTCAGAAAAGCATGAAAGCATTCACTTTCAAATGTAAAAATATTACAAAGCACGAGTTAGGTCTTTTTGATAGGAAGAAATGAATGAACATTGGATTCCATCTTAGATGTGCAGGATTTAACATAAAGACACAGTCCTCTAAAGAAGCCAGTGAGAAGAATGACCCAGTTATTTTGATTATAAAAGAATTAAGGACACACAAGAGTCCATAGGAATTCCAACTAAATCTGGTTTAAATAACATAACCTAGTTTCTCAAATGAGCAAATGACAAATAGAAGTAATTTTGAAGCTAAGGAAGAATATAATTATATGGAAGTATCAACTTCAATTTGTTTAAAATTTGTACAGAGTAAGGCTAAGTTTTTTATTATATTCAATATCTTTTCTGCAGAGTATATATAAATGAAATTTCCTCATTAAGAAAACATGCAAGATATGACTATCTACACACAAGAGTATCTGTAATTCAGACAAGTTCAAATGTAAGTAAGAGCTGGATTTAACAGTTTCAAGACACAAGAAATAAACTTTACTTGTTTAATTTTCCCAGCAGTCCATGCTACAACCCTGTGCAACCTGATGCTATACATACTCCTCAACTTATGATGGGATTCCTCCTCTTTCAAACCAGTGGTCCTGTTGTGGTAATTCCCCGTTAGGAGAATGAGCGCATACAGGGAGACGTAGTGAGAGTAGTGAAAAATAACACACACACAGCACACAGATACACTGTACAGTAAATGTAGGTTTTTTACTTCCAATAAACGTTTAAGCACAGTCCAAGATAAGCAGTCCAAGTCATTCACAGGTAAAGCAGTCAGTTTTCAGTTCAGGGATAATCCAACTATCAAAGTCCAGTATCAAAAACAGTTCAGTAACAGACTTACATCAACGTTCAGTAACAGTCATGAGGAGGAAACGGCAACACTCTCCAACAGAAGGAAACAGAGACTCACTGAGACTCTCTTTGACTAAACAACCCAGGTTTCTGGCTCCATCTTATGGCCGTTTGAGAAACCACACCCAATTACAGTTTTAGTATTCTCTTAAAGACATAGTATTAAGGAGACTTCCGGTTTGCAGGTTTTGGCAGCGGCAGGGATTCGCGATACTGCGCGATCCCTGCTGCATTCGCTGTCAAGGTTCTCCCGATCCGTTTGGATCTGGGGGATATAGCTGCCCCGTAGAGGCAGCTGAAGACAGGGGGGATCTGGACAGGGGTTTGGGGGTGTCGCAGACCCCCTCCCCAGCCAGCAAAACCCCCTTTTCCCAAGACGGACGAGCGGCAGTCAGTAATGGCCGCCACGAAGAAATCTACAGCCGGACAAGCAGGTGCAGGAGGGAGAAAGCTGGAAGAGTAATGAAAGTTGCTTTCAACTGGGACAAGGCAAGAGAAAGTGCCCTGAATCTTGAAGGCTGCTAAGGATACATTGTTCCTAGTAAGAGTTACAAGCTGCGAACATTCTTAAAGGGAAAGTTTTTTTTCCTTTCGTTTCACTCTCCTTCCTAACGTGACAGCAGATGGAAAAAATCTTTTTGGCTGTGAGTGGGAAGGGAGAGGGGAAAAAAAAGTTGGAGCAATTGAAAATAAGGAGAAGATTGCCTAGATTTTTAAAGAGTTACTAAACACCAATAAGACTTCTAAAAGAGATATTTTAAAAGGAATTTTGTGACTAAACTTTAACCCCAGAAAGACAAAGTGAAGAAGGAGAAAGTATTTAAAAGAAACAGCCTGTTTGGATTGTTTGGTGATTTTGGAACTTCTGAGGACTATTTCTGATTAAAAGCACTCGGGTGGTTGTTTGGGAAAACTTTTTCTCTGCACAATGGCATCACTTGTGGATGGACTGAAACTTGTATACCAAAAATATGAAAAAGAAAAGCAAGAAGGGAAAGATGTCCTTGGCACTCTTTTTCAATTTTTAGAAATGGCGGTTTGTACTTATGTAAAGCTGAATGAGCAACAGGATGATGGGGACAAAGAAGAAGCCATCTTTGATGAACAAATAACTTTGGTCGGAAAAGGGAAAAAGAAAGAGAAAAAGGAAAAGAAGACTTTAAGATCTGGAAAAGCAACCCAAGAAGAGAAGAATAAGGTGAAAAGGGGACATTATGTTAGGAAACAACAGAAAGGGGGAAAGCAGAATAAAAGGGAGGTGGAGAGACAAGGGGGTAAAGAGGACAAGGAGAAGAAGAAGCAAGGGAGAAAGGAAGGGATGAGAAGCCTTAATGGTGGGGAGCAAATTGTAAAGAAGCAAAAGTTTTTTAGAGATAATGGATAAATTTTATTGAAAAGGGGATTCTAGAAAGGTACATAAGATTGCATTTCTATATTTGTATTTAGAAATAACCATAGAAAATTAGAAATAATATGTAATTTAAAATAAAATATTTAGTATAATCTAGTGAAATTTTTGTTAAGAGAAGGGGAGTACTGTAATGGAACAATGGTTTAAGATATGTGATGTGGGGGGGGGGGGAAAATAATTTTGGAAAACATAAGTGTTCCCACAAAGGCATGATATTTAACTGAAATGGGTAAAATGTTTAAGAAATAAATGATTGTTAATATTAATGATTAGACTATGTTATTCTAGTGAAACTTTTTGTGAAATGAGAGATTTGAACTAGGAGAAAGGGGAACATTGTAATGAAATACATGATCTATAATATGTGACGTGGGGGGGGGGGGAATAACTATGGAAAATAGGTGCTCCCATAAAAGTATGTGATTTAACTGAAAAATAATGTGTTAAATGTTTAAGACATAAATGAATATCAATATTAATGAATAGATTTGTATTGGTTTTGATAATACTGTATAATTTTAGAAAGTACCAGACAGAATCCCAATGTAAGTTATGTGTTTTATATTAAGTATTATAAATATAGGGGAAAGAGATAAAGGCATCATACTCCATTTAGTGTATAGAAGTTTTTTTCAAAGAAGAAAGATAAATGGATAGCTGGAAATAGAACAGACAAAGAATAATAAATATTATGATTCGAATTGAGAGGAGATAAATAAAATAAAATTGAGAAAATTTAAAAGAGAGGAGAAGTTATATAGAAAATTGAAAATGCTAACAAGATATGGAATGGTATATAAAATGATTATGAATTTGAATTTGTGTCTGTATCAAGAGTTTTAACCCGGGACTAAGCAACTTTCAGAAAAGAGATTTTTTATGCTTTTATGTTTTGTGTTTCTGTGTATTTATGTTTTGTATGTCTTTAAAAATTAATAAAATTTGTTCAAAAAAAAAAAAAACATAGTATTAAAATGTCTATCCTAGTTTATATATTTCCAACCCAAATAATTATTAGGTGTGTTAAGTCCGTCGTCGGAAGGAGACTCAGGAGCCAGTGACTAGTTTCAGCTCTTTATTAAGTCCCGAGATCGGCTCGGGTTTAGGAAGATCAGCGGCGGCTTATATTTCCCTGGCCGCGGCGGCCGCGGCCAATGGCACCACTTTGAATCTCCCGCGATTAGTTTCCACCAATCGCGGGGATTCGCGGTGGGCCAATCAGTGCAGCTCGCTCGGCCAATCAGGATGCCGTGCGTTCTGACCAATCACGGCGCGGTGTTACAAGTATGCAAATGGGTCGTACAGAACACCCCTCCCCTCTTGGTATGGTCCTACGTGACGTAGTCCCGTAAGTAGGCGGGGCTCCATACTTGCCTACTTGACCTGCGCAGATTAGTTGATGCCTGGCCTTCGGCCGGTTGGGTTGGGTTCTGTGTCGCTCTTGGCCTCATCGATGGAACCGCCTGGAAGGGTGAGCCGGGCCTTTCGTCGCAGCTCCCTCCCGGTCTACCCGGGCTGGTCGAGCTGCTG